GCAGTCTCCACTTTCCATCCATGATTATCAGGGTTCTCTCCAGTGAATCTTCAGTTGATTGTTTAGTTGTAATTCCAGTTTGGTCCGGGAAGCGTGTCTGTGCAGCATACACTTACTTTGTCGCCATTTTTAATCTCCAAATGGTAAAGTTTTCATTCTTTTTTTTAAGGCCGAGTCATATTCCATTATATACATCCATATCCATATATAGCACAGCATTTTTATCTACTTGTCTATTCATGGGCACTTGGGTTGCTTCCATATCTTGGCTATTGTAAATAATGCTGCAGTGAACATGGGGGTGCATATATTCTTTTGAATTAGTGTTTTGGATGTATTCAGATATATACACAAAAGTGGAATCACTGGGTCTTAAGGCAGTTTCATTTTGAATTTTTTGCGGAACCTCCATACTCTTTTCCATAATGGCTGTGCCAATCTGCATTCCCACCAGCAGTGCATGAAGGTTCCCTTTTCTCCACTTCCTCACTAACACTTGCCATTTGTGGACTTGTTGATAATAGTCATTCTGACAGGTGTGAGGTGATAGCTCATTGAGGTTTTAAAATATTTATTATTTTATTTTATTTTATTTTTTCAATAACATTTATCTCCCCTATACCCTACTCCACCTCCACCCACACATCTCCCCTCCCCACAACCACCACACTGTTGTCTATGTCCATTAGTCCTTTCTCTCCCTTTTTCCTTTTTTTTTCAATCACAGACTCCCAGCAAGCTGTCAGCCTGTTCTCTATATATGAATCTGTCTCTATTTTTCTTGTTAGTTCAGTTTGTTCACTAGATTCCACATATGAGTGAAATCATATGATACTTGTGTTTCTCTGACTGACTTATTTCACTTAGCATAATATTCTGCAGGCCCATCCATGCAGTTGCAAAAAGTAAAATTTTCTTCTTTTTTATGGCTGAGTAGTATGTAGAAAATTTGCTCTGCTAATCTTCCGGTCATTCTCAGAGATATCTGTTATATATGTAGTTGTTAGTTTTGGTGTCAATGAGAGGAAGTGAGCTCAGGGTCTTCCTACTTCACCATCTTGAACCCAAAGCCAGGAGCCTTGCTTTTGAATGCCAATTTAACTTCATAGTGATACATTGCTTCTTGTGATTGGTACATTGCCTATGCAACAAATTTGTCTCCGGATCACTCAATCACTGCCGCCACTCCTCTTATTACAATCTTTACTTTAAAGTCTATTTTGTCTGATATAAATATAGCCACTCCAGAGTTCTTTTGGTTTTCATTTGCCTAAAATATCTTTTTTTAAATATATTTTTTATTGAGTTAAGAGAAGAAGGAAGAGGGAGAGAGAGATAGAAATATCAATTATGAGAGAGAATCATAGGTCGACTGTCTCCTGCATGATGGTTCGAGCCTGCAACTCAGGCATGTGCTCTAGGAATTGAACCATGACCTCCTAGTTCATAGATTGATGCTCAACCACTGAGCTACACCAGCCTGGCTGAAATATCTTTTTAAATCTTTCACTTTCAGTATCCTCATGTCCTTATATCTGAAGTTAGTCTCTTGTAGGCAGTTTATGGACGGGTCTTGTTGTTGTTGTTTAAATCTCATCATCTACTCTATGCTTTTTTTTTAAAAAAAAAGAGATCTTTTTATTTATTTGTAACATTTACAAGTAACATGTTCAGTACCATTAACATTGCATAAAAACAGAGATTAAGTGAATATTCCCCTTGGTCCGTCCTCCAAGCCCATGTCCCTCTCCAGAGGTATTCACCCAACTTGGCTTGAAATGTATTATTTTTTAAAAAAATATATTTTTTAATTGATTAAGATATCACATATGTGTCCTTATCCCCACGTTATCCCCTACCCCCCCGCCACCGCTCATGCCCTCAC